AGAGAAAGGAAAAAAAAAGAAGGAGGCAGGGAAAATGAAATGAAGATAAAGTTACCCAGAGAAATTATATGGCTTAATTATTTCAGAGAGAGAGAAAGGACTGTAAAGAAGGAGGTGTAGAACATGTATCAAGACAATGGATTAAATATGTCTGTTTAGACAGACGAAAAACCAGAGTTATTGGGAGGGAAGAGATAAGGAGGAGAAATGGAGAGGGGGAGGGAAGAATTATCTATATATCCAGAATTGACCTAGTTAATCCAGGCAATGCTGCATGGCTTGTCAGGGTAGCTGTCCACAGGGTCTGTGTCCCTCTGGTGGACAGCAGTTACCCAGTGCAAAGGGGCGTGGTTTGGCGTTTTCTGGACCCACCTCCACTATGGGCCCAGGAGTGATCCCTGAGGCCCCGCCTTGGTGGTGGTGGGGAGTGGGGGAGGAAATGGTGATCCCCCAGTCTCTTCTCTACGGAGTTGGACCCGGTGGACTCAGTTTGAGTCACCCTCACTGTGCCACGGGCACAGACAAGAAGGTCCTTCTCACTCTGCCAACTCCCCTGACCCTGCGCTTGGCTAGGATTCAAAGTCCCGCCCTGTGCACTCTGGCACTGGGGAAGTGCCTCTCAGTGCCGCGATATGTGGTCCCCGCTGGCTTTGTCTGTGCCACAGCCACTTCAGGGAGGACCACCTTCTCCTACTGCGCACACAGCCACTGCCCTCACCATGAGCCCCCAGGGCTCCACAGCACTTCAGGCAAACGGCCGCCTTTTCCTCCTGCAGACTGCGCCCTCAGCCTAGCCACTGTGCCCAGGGGTGGCAGACGCAGGCAGGTTCTGTACTATCGCGCAGCTCTCCAGGGAGGGAACCACTTTCTCCAGCTGCGGGCTGAGCCCCTGCCCCGCACCTGCAGCCTTTAGAATTCCCACGTATCACAGAAATTCCACAGATTTAAAAAATTCCACTGAGAATGCAAATATACTCAAACAGGTACAGCCTTATCCCCAGGGGAGCTGTGCTTACCCACTGAGATCAAGTTGAAATAGTTTTCCAGCATCACATCCCTGTACAGGCTTTTCTGAGCAAGGTCCAATCGTTGCCACTCCTCCCTGCTGAAGTCTATCATTACATCCTTGAATGACACTGACCCCTGCAAAAACACATTCCTATTCAATGTGAAGAATGGAAACAAGGTATTTAGGAACTTACTTTTAATAATTTTCATCATGCTACAACATATAAAGTTTTATATATTTTATATCATTATTTGAGGGAAAATAAATCTCATTAAAAATATCATGCTGGTGCCTGGGTGGCTCAGTCAAGATTAAGCCTCCGACTTTGGCTCAGGTCATAATCTCGTGGTTCCTGAGTTTGAGCCCCACATCGGGCTCTGTGCTGACAGCTCAGAACCTGGAGCCTGCTTCGGTTTCTGTGTCTCCCTTGCTCTCTGCCCACCCCCCACCCCCATGCTCTCACTCTCTCTCCCTCTCAAAAATAAGCATTAAAAAAAATATAACCACAGAATCTGCCCCCAAAGCCAAGAGCACACTTTACACACTGTATGTTAGCCAATTTGATAATAAATTATATTAAAGTAATAAAAATAAATAAATAAATAAATAAATAAATAAATAAATAAATCATGCCATTCTTTCTGTAGTACTGATAATATTGTGGGTTGTTTTGGTCATGTTTTTTTGGTATGCTGTGGAAATTCATAAAACTTTATGATTTGTGCATTCTTTTCTATGCCATATGTCATTAAAACTTCATTTAAAAGATAAAATATATTCTGCCATTCATTTTGCACTTACCAATTCACTGAATAAGTCCATTCTTTCTTTAAAAAAGATAATTAAAATAGGCACTTTTTTTTTTTTTAACAGTGTGGTACTAGCATAAAGAGAGACATATAGGTCAATGGGATGTAACTGAGAATCAAGAAATAAACCCTCATATTTATAGTCAACTGATATTCAACACAGGTGTCAAAACAACTTAAAATCGGGGAAAAAAAGGATAAAAGAATGAAGTTGGACACCTACCTCATACCATATTAAAAAAAATAGCTCAAAATGGGTCAAAGGCCTAAATGTTCTTATATTTAGCCAAATTTACACTTTAGCTAAAAGGGTAAATCCTTGTGATGCTCGATTTGGCAATGATTCCTGGGATATAAAGTCAAAAGCACAAGCAACTAAAGAAAAAAGTAGAGGAGCAAGTGGATGACTCAGTCAGTTAAGCATCTGACTTCAGCTAGGTCATAATCTCGCAGTTCATGAGTTCAAGCCCCCCCGTCAGGCTCTGTGCTGACAGCTCAGCACCCCAACTTATACTCTGTCTGTCTGTCTCTCTCTCTCAAAAATGAATAAACATTAAAAAAAGTTAAAAAGAAAAAAATAAATAGGACTTCATCAGAATTAAAAACTTTGTGCTTAAAAGGATAGCATCAAGAAAGTGAAAAGACAACCCAAAAACTGGAACAAAATTTTTGCAAATTATATGTCTGGTAAGTGACCTGTATCTAGAATATATAAAGAGCTCCTGTAACTCAATAAAGCATAAATAATCCAATTAAAATGAATAAAGAACCTGAATATACATTTCTCTAAAGATCCACAAATGGGAAAAAGCACATGTAAAGATCCTCAGTACCTTTAGTCATAAAGGATATAGAAATCCAAATCATAGAGATACCCCTTCAAATTCACTAAGATGACTATAATAAAAAAGATATTTAATATTGTTAGTCATCAGTGGTATATTTCCACGAGAGTAGCTTCAATTAAAAAAAAGATAATAATAAATGGTTAGTGTGGAAGTGGAAATATTGGAACCCTTGTACAGTGATAGTGGACATGTAAAATGATATAACCACTTTGAAAAACACAATTTCTCAAAAAGTTAAACACAGAGTTACAACATGACCCAAAAGGTCAACTTCCAGGTAAATACCCAATAGAAATGAAAACATTTGTCTACATAAAACTTGCACATGACAATTCATAGTAGCATTATTCATAATATTCACAGTGAAAAGGAATAACATATTGTAGTCTGAGAAGACAGAGGGGGAATGTGGGGCAGAGGCAATATTTGAGAGGTATCAGTGAACAACATTAGCCCAAAAATTCAAGAAGCTCCTCAAATCCAACTTTATAAAACTGCAAAGACTATAAAAAATGGTAACAGTAATATCTAGTGATGTTTAAAATACATGTCAAATCTAGGGCACCTGGGTAGTTCAGTCGGTTAAGCATCCGACTTCAGCTCAGGTCATGATCTCATGGTCAGTGAGTTCAAGCCCCGCATCCAGCACTGTGTTGACAGCTCAGAGCCTGAAGCCTGCTTCAAATTCTGTGTCTCCCTCTCTCTCTGTCCCTCCCTCGCTCATGCTCTGTCTCTCTCTGTCTCTCAAAAAGAAATAAACATTTAAAAAAAAATAATAAAATACATGTCAAATTTAAATGCATGAAAATAAGAATGCAAAGATGAGAGGTGGTAAATGGAATTAAGATGATTTGGTATCCCAGAATTATTGAGAAGGGGGTAGAAATAACGACTTAAAGATGAATACTGTAATACCTAGGGTAAAAAAAGAATGTATACAATGAGCAAGTTAACAAAGGAAAAAATTAAATTTTGAGTAATCTAAAAGAAGATTAAGAAAGGAATGTAAAAATAACATTAAATAGATGGTTCAAATATAAAATTAATAGTAAGATAGTATATATAAGTGCAAGTATATCAGCCATTACATTAAATGTAAATGGACTTGGGAGCCTCAATGGCTCAGGTGATTAAGCATCTGACTCTTGATTTTGGCTCAGGTCATGATCTCCCAGTTGGTCCTCTCTCTCCCTCTCCCTCTCTCTCTGCCACTCCCCCAATGGTGCTCTCACTCTCTCAAAATAAATAAACATTTAAATGTAAATGGATTAAACATTCAAGATAAAGCAAAGATTGAATAAATCCCACTTGATCATGGTGAATGATCCTTTTAATGTATTGTTTTTTAAAAAAAAAATTTATTGTTATTTATTTTGAGAGAGCTAGAGAGCAAACAGTAGAGGGACAGAGAGAGAGGGAGACAAAAATCCCAAGCAGGTTCTGTGCCATCAGTGCAGAGCCAGATGCGGGGCTCAAACTTACAAACTGTGAGATCATGACCTGAGCCAAAATCAAAAGTCATACATTTAACCCACTGAGCCACCCAGGCACCCCCTTTTAATGTATTGTTGAATGTAGTTTGCTAATATTTTGCTGAGAATTTTTGTATATGTTTCATCAGGGATCTTGGTCTATACTTTTTGTAATGTCTTTGTCCGGTTTTAGTACCAGGGTAATACTGGCCTTTTAGAATGTATTTGGAAGCTTTCCTTCTTCTTCTATGTTTTGGAATAGTTTGACAAGAGTAGCTTTAACTCTCCTTTACTTTTTTTTTTAAGTTTATTTATTTGAGAGAGAGCAAGCAAACGGGGAAGGGGTAGAGAGAGGAGAGAGAGAAAATCCCAAGCAGGCTCTGAGCTCTAAGCACAGAGCCCAATGCAGGGCTCTATCTCACAAACTGTGAGATCATGACCTGAGCAGAAATATGAGTCAGGCGCTTAAGCTACTGAGCCACCCAGGCACCCCTTAAACTCTCCCTTAAATGTTTACTAGATGGAGCACCTGGGTGGATGAGTCGATAGAGCATCTGACTTCATTCAGCTCAGGTCATGATCTCAGTCGTGAGTTCGAGCCCCACATAGGTCTCATGGCTGTCAGTGCAAAGCGGGCTTCAGATCCTCTGTCCCCCTCTCTCTGCCCCTCCCCCACTTGCACTCTCTCAAAAATAAATAAACATTTAAAAAATAAAAAATAAAATAAATGTTTGCTAAAATTCACCTGTGAAGCCATCTGGTCCTGGACTTTTGTCTGTTGGGTTTTTTTTTTTTTCATTATCAATTCAATTTCACTACTAGTAACTGGTCTGTTTAGATTTTGTATCTCTTCCTGATTCAGTTTTAGAAGATTATATGTTTCTAGGATTTATCCATTTCTTCCAGGTTTATTCCTGGGATACAAGAATGGTTTAATAACCACAAATCAATCAACATGGTACACCACATTGACAAAATAAAGATAAAAATCATGTAGTCATCTCAATAAATGCAGAAAAAGCATTTGACAAAATTTAATACCTGTTCATGAAAAAAATAAAAGTAAGACTTTCAACAAAGCGGGTTTAAAGGGAATATATTTCTGGGCACCTGGGTGGCTCAGTCAGTTGAGAGTCTGAATCTTGATTTCAGCTCAGGTCATGATCCGAGGGTTGTGGGACTGAGCCCCACACTGGGCTCTGTGCTAAGCATGGAGCTTGCTTAAGATTCTCTCTCTCCTTCTGCCCCTCCACTCCCCTGCTCACACTCTCTCTCACTCTAAAATAAATAATTAAAAATAAAGGGAGTATAGCTCAACATAATAAAGGCCGTAAATGACAAACCTACAACAAACATATACAATGGTGAAACACTGACAGCTTTTTCTCTAAGATCAGGGGCAAGACAAGGATGTCCACTCTCATCACTTCTATTCAACACAGTACTGGAAGTCTAGGCCACAGCAGTCAGAAAGGAAAAAGAAAAGGCATCCAAGTTGATAAGGAAGAAGTAAAACTGTCATTATTTGCAGATGACATGGTACCATACACAGAAAATCCTAAAAACTCCACCAAAAAAATATTAGAAATAATAAATGAATCCAGTAAAGTTGCAGATACAAAATTAATATACAAAAAAAAGATATTGCTGGGGCGCCTGGGTGGCTCAGTCGGTTAAGCGGCAGACTTCAGCTCAGGTCACGATCTCGCGATCCGTGAGTTCGAGCCCCACGTCGGGCTCTGGGCTGATGGTTCAGAGCCTGGAGCCTGCTTCCGATTCTGTGTCTCCCTCTCTCTCTGCCCCTCCCCCGTTCATGCTCTGTCTCTCTCTGTCTCAAAAATAAATAAAACGTTAAAAAAAAAAAAAAAGATCAGACTTGCATTAAAAAAAAAAAGATATTGCTTATGTTTCCATATACTAATATAAAGTAGCAGAAAGAAATTAAGAAAACAATTCCATTTACAACTGTATCAAAAAGACTAAAAGCCTAGGAATAAACTTAATGAAAAGAGATGAAAGATCTGTACCCTGAAAAACAATAAAGCATTAATGAAAGAAAGAAACTAAAGACAATACAAACAAATGGAAAGATATACCATGCTTATGGATTGGAAGAATTAATATCGTTAAAATTCCATATTACCCAAAGCAATCTATAGATACAATGTAATTCCTATAAAATGCCAATAGTATTTTTTACAGAACTAGAAAAATACTAAAATTTTTATGGAACCACCAAAAAAACCCAAGTAGCAAATGCAATCGAAGAACAAAGCTGGGGGTAGCACATCCAATATTTCAAGAGATACTACAAAGCTACAGTAATCGAAACAGTATAGTACTAGCACAAAAAACAGACACATATCATTGGAATGGAATAGGAGGCCCAGAAATAAACCCAGGCTTTATATGGTCAATTAATCTACAACAAAGGAGGCAAGAATATACCATGGGAAAAGCCAGTCTCTTCAATAAATGGGTGTTGGGAAAACAGGACAGCTACATGTAAAAGAATGAAACTGAACCACTTTCTTACACCATACCCAAAA